AGGTTGACGATTTGGCCCAAATGCAACCCTGTTAGTATCTGCTAACAAATTTAACAATTAGCAGAATAACTTTTTCACTGTGTCTCAACCAACCCCACCCCGCCTTGCTCTGTAAACCTTGTGGAAAAAAATATAACTGTTTCGCCGAATTACCCACCTACAGCTGATGACCGTTGCGGTGACACTTCAAGTCCCTTCATAGACTACCTTACTATATTATAAATAGAAGGTTTTAACTTTTAATATATATAAATTTGAAATAAGGTTACTGTTGCATATAGATGTTACATTTTGATACCCCAAATTTAATTAAATCACAACTTAGTCACTATAATGTACATTTTACATTTTGATACCCCAAATTTAATTTTAATGTAAAATCATTGAATAATTATGTTTTGGTATCTAAATTTTATGAGATTTTCGTACCTACAATTTTTTAAATTTACATATTGGTCCAATGTTTAGATTTCACTTGAATCCATGAATACAATCCACCAATCCTTTTGAACCAATACATGATCCAATCAACGTATAAATTTAGTTTGGCTCATTACGTGAAACATTAATTAAATAAATGATAAAAGAAAGATGACTCTAAAATATTGCAAGAGCGAATTTATAAACGCATTTAGTACATTTACGGGTACTAAACAAACTTCTACTAACTATATGTAACAAAGTATGCGACATCTACATAAGTAAGTGTCAATAAATTGCTACGGTGACAAAGGGTTGAATTTCGTATTGATGGCCAACTAAAAGAAATGGTCAAAAAAAATTTCATCAACTACCTTCTCTTCGTTTCATTTTCACTCGCCTTCCATAACCCTTTCTTTATTTTTTTCTCTACCTTCTTCGTCTAACCCTAATTAGCATACTATTTTTATGAACTTTAATCACACGTATGAACGGGTCGTTACAGAACTCACCAACAGTCTAGAGAACTAATAATTGAACCATGACCCACTAACTTTTTTAGCTCAATGTCGAGTTCAATTATATATATGGTGCCTTCTACGGTAGCCCGGGTGAAATTCGGGGTATCGCATACCTTGAGTATGAAAACGCTATTTAGACCTCGAAAAAGCATGATTTTTGGGCATGATACTATACCCTAATCCTTAATGAGTGAACCCTAGGTCCTAATTATCTAAATCATAAACTATAAATCCTAAGATGATGCATTGATTTTTTTGCCTATATTTGGACGAATCATAACCGTCGATTATTGTTTCTAATTAACTTGATCTTGGGGTATAAGATTTAGAGAATTAAGACCTAGATTTTGATCTTTAAGGGTTAGAGTATAGTATCATGTCCGAAAGATCAGTCAATTCAAGTCCTGGATAGCGTTTTCTTACTCAAGGTATGCGGTACCCGGGATTTCACCCTGGGTACCGTAGAACTCCCCACATATATATATATATATATATGGTGGCGTCTTCGGTGCACTCACTTTTTTGGGTGCATTCAGTGCACTCGTTTCATAATCGTCATTTTAAACATGAGATTTATGTCAAAATGATGTCAATCATCACTTATGATGTGATGAACAATAACACACATGAATTTGCACAAAAACCATGAAAGATTTGCTTTAATTTGAAGGATTTAGAGTTTAAAGATCTAGGGTTAGGGTTTACAATTTGGGGTTTAGGGATAGAACTCAAAATTGGAGGTCTAGGGCTTAGGGTAACCCGCTAATTAGTTGTTATCGTATGTTTATCATCATATTATACTAATTCTACAAATTAAAATTCAAAATCTGACACCTTAAGACTAGTTTTTGAGTTGGGTGCATTGAACGCACTCATTTTTGTGAGTGCACTGAAGTAGTCACCTATATTGATATATATATATAGGGTTATTAATTATTATAAATTTGTCACTTTCCACTATGAGATTTAAATGTGTGAAATTTTAAGCGACTTGCTTCTCCCTAGGGTTTTTGTTTTTGCACCCGGGCTAGAATTTTCAACAATTATACATGGAATGTTTGCTAGGTATCTACAGACTACTCATATCAAATGAACATCTTTCATTTTCTATATAGAAGTAAATAATTATCATCTTAAATACATCACCATAAAAGGAATTAAGCATCAACTATGCAAATTACAGTTTTTTACCTGAACTTAATAAATCTTTAGATTTATAACCTAAATTTATTTTGTTAGCATATAAGTCCTTAAAATATTGATGGAACATTACATTTTAGTATCTAAATTGTTTTTGTATTATATTTTGGTACCTAAACTTTTGAAGTTCTAAAAATAGGTCTAATTTTTGTATGTATAATTAAACACCCTAGAATAAATGTGTATACATACCCAACTCATACACATTTAGATTATGGAAGTAAATATTCATACCCTACGCAAACCCATCTACAAACGTCCAAACCCATATATGCGTAACGCATTCCCTACCGATAATCAATGGGTCTATTTGGGTTTAGGTAAATATCATTTACTAGCCAAAATTTTCAAAAAAAAATTAAATTGGATGTTGACCGCCATATATCTCTTCTCAGTCAATATCATATTGCCAAGCCAATATAACTAACAAAACTTCTAACAAAAAATTAATTTTAGGCTAATAATACTAACAAAATATCATAATGGGTCACATAATACATGTCCATAAGCCATCTCCGCCTCGCGACATGTTGCGGCATCGCCACCTAGTTTTTTTTCTTAATATAGAAGTTTTCTGCCACATACATGAGTATGATTTTATATAATCTGAAATCTTTATTCTATGGGATGGTTTGAAACGGGGCCAGACAGGTTTCATCCGCCTCGTGCGAGGCGAGTTCGGGGTGAAAATTTCTAAACCATTTTTGCAGGACAGGGCGCAGATTTAGTACTATATATCCACCCCAAACTCGATCTGTTATCTTTCCTACTATGAGATGATGCATGGTACGTAACTTTTTGACTATGACTACATATTCTTTCGAAACAACTATACACTCGCTAGCTCTCTACATTCTAATCTCCACTTCCTGGCCACCTTTCTTTACTTTCCTTCCCATGATCAAAGGTGCGTGCATGCGTGGTATTAGCTCCCATATATTAAACAGTGAAGCTAAGCCGTTCAACGTAAGAGAGGTAGCAATCATGGCACATACGACGGATTTTGTTGGGGGAAGGGAGGACGAATGAAGCGCATCTTTGGAAATTATTTGATCGGCGCACTTGCCCCATTGAACGAGTGAGAATGGAAAACGTACAACATCGATCGATTTTCCACAACACTTAATTTCCCCGTCAAACTTCATCGCTTAGCTCTCTGGTACCACCATTTGCCATGACCCTAGAGCCTAGAGGTTGGCCATTCAAATGGTACACCATCGATTTTCCACAACACTTAACTTCATCATGTGTGAACAGATATACACAACATCATGCTAGTTATGCGTTGTGGCAGTACAATCATAGTTGTAGACTTGTAGTAGTTAGTGATGCAGTTAGAATTTTATTCGAGAGGGTGCATTAAAAGAATTTTTGAATAATGACAATTCATGACGCGATCGCATGCTTGATATTATCAAATCATTCTAGAGCTATATAATTGTCCTAACTATCAAACTTTCGCTCTAAATGGTATCCAACCAAATAATTCACAATTTCGTTTCATTCATCAAAAGTTGTCAATCTTTTCACTACAAAAAATATAATATCAACATGTGCATTGACAAAAGTAGTAGCAAATTAAAATAGTTTCAAAAGCAAATACATTAATGAGAAACAGTTTTCTCGTCTAAAGACTATCGATATCATAAAAAATTAAATGATTTCCTCTAATAATCTGCACACTCTTACCCTGTTTGATAAACTAGAGTGTATTAACGTAGAAATTTTTAGATCAAATTAATTTGCATAATTGATTGTGATTGTATGATAAAAATTTGGCAATCAACATTGACATTTGCTGTTCAAATTTCATTGTTATTACTATTAAATTTGGGTATGTTTCTCCAAAGAAAGGGGTGCCATGGAACCCCATCTAGCTCTGCCCCGGGTTGTAGTCATTATCTTTTGCTGTTATAGAATCTCAAGTCTGAAGCAATTATAGTTGTAGTCGTTGTTTTTTTCCCATTTTGAGTCGTTTATTTGCAGTCGTAAAACTACAAGTCCGATGTGGACTGCTAGGAATCATGATTAGTATGATATTGATGATCCCTTATAGGATTAGCACAGTATCGGATCCTGAGATACCTATCCAAAAAGCTACAATTGCTAAATAAATGCATTGTTATGAAAATATGTATATTATTATATGGGCTAGACTCGTATGCTCCTGAAGCATACTATGAATTAAACCGATTTGGGGTATGATACTATACTCTAATCTCAAATGGATAAACCCTAAACCCCGATTTTGTGATCCCAAACCCAAAGTTCAATTTAAGAGAAAAAAGAGTTGACGGTTGAGATTGGTCGGAGCTAATCCATGTAAATCTAACGGTCATATCATTTGGAGCATACTAGTCGTCTCCATTATTATGGGCCAGACTCGTGTGCTCCTGGAGTATACTATGCTCCATGTACTTATAGTGAGATATCTCTATGTAGACCATGAATTAAACTGAGTTTGGGATATGACACCCTAACATTGATGTTGCTTTGCAAAATACAACATCAGTTATGGGTGATTGCATATTTCACACCAGCTGATACATGCAATAACTCATTTTTAATGATAGTTTACGTCAAATCACAAAAATAATAGTACCCGATGCATTCTATATTATACAAGTATAATAACAATCTTAAAAGCAACTTTCAAACAACCCTGTAGTTTTACTTTTACAAATTTTACCAAAGGAATAAGAAATTCTCCGTAGAAAATGGTAACTTCCACATTAATTGTGGGCGGAAAAAACACAGTAGTATTAGTCTGCTTTTACCAAAACGAAAAAAAACCTATCTTCCTCTGAGTCTCATCACTCCCCCACGGCTATAAATTTCCAAGCTAGGGCATCCTCCCTTTCTCACATTCTCAACTCTTCTTCTTCTTCCCATAGCCAAACCCACTACTAAAACCATCATCATGGCCACTTCTCCATCCCTTGCCTCCATCCTCCTCGCCATCACCATCACATTGGGATCCTTAACCTTCCCTTCAACCGCCCAAAACTCCCAGCAAGACTACGTCAACGCCCACAACGCCGCCCGATCCGCCGTCGGCGTCGGCCCCGTAACCTGGGACGCCAGGCTGGCGACCTACGCCCAGTCCTACGCCAACAAGCGGGCCGCGGCGGACTGCCGCCTCGTCCACTCGGGCGGGCCCTACGGCGAGAACCTCGCCTGGAGCAGCGGCGACCTCTCCGGCGCCGCCGCGGTGGCGATGTGGGTCGGCGAGAGGGCGGACTATAACTACAACGCCAACAGCTGCGCCCCCGGGAAGCAGTGCGGGCACTACACTCAGGTGGTGTGGAGGAGGACTACTAGCATTGGATGTGCAAGGGCCAAGTGTCGCGACGGTAGGGGTACTTTCGTCATTTGCAGCTACAACCCGCCGGGGAACTACGTCGGCCAGAAACCCTACTAGCTAGGTCGATATGTTGAAAGACGGCGTGATTGAATCTAGCCGCTGAATATAAATATAGAAGGCTGTGTAATGAATGATGCATCTTAGCATCTTCACTTATATGATAATAATGCAATAAATCCGTCGTACCACGCTTAAAGTAAAAGTGGCGATGAACTAATTACACAGTGGGTACAAGCTAAGGAAAGTATGTTTGATTGTCTTTAATACTAATTTAGCAGTGGCAACCGGATCGAATTTGTGGATTCATTAATTGAGCTCATGATCAATAAGGGAATTTGTGGATCAGATTGAATTAATTTGTGAATTAGATTCGGTGGAGGTTTGTGAATTGGATGGTTAAAAACTGAAAGAAAACTTAGGTAGTTCCTCCCAAGTGTTTTTTTTTTATGAATGATGAGAATTTTATACGAAACTAACCAATCCATGAAACCAATAATACAAAAGTTAAAAACAAAAGGCCAACAACTCAACCAGTAGTAGAGAAAGCAAGAAACGACATAAAAAAAAAAACAAAACAAAATTAAGCAATGGAAAAACAACCAACTCGAGAACAAAGAGAAGAAAGCAAGTGAGGGTCAAATGAGGTGCTTCGTCCCGATCGCCACTCACTGGTGGAAGAGTCTATCTGAGATGCAACAAAAAGCTCGTAACCATCATCCAACCATAACAACAATCTTTTGACCGATCTCTTTTTGGGAGGACTCCACATCTCTGAAAATCCTATTGTTTCTCTCCAACCAAATGTACCAACACACTACATGGGGCAATAACTTGATGGAGTCTCTGAACCGTGGGTCATACACCACAAGCCTCGCCAAGCTATGAGGAATTGACGAATGAAAGGAAGGTAAGGACCATGAAGATCAAAAGTTTTTTTATGAAGTTTTCCCAAATGGCAATTGCAAATGGACATGAGAAAAAGAGATGTGAGATCGATTCCTCATGTTGTTTGCAAAGAGAGCACCAATTCGGAATAATCATCCTTTTTTTCTCAAGTTATCCACCCAATCTTCTCACGAGAGACCATCCAAAGGAAGCATCATATTTTTTAGGGCACACAAGGTTTCCACACCAACTTGAAAGGGAAAGCAATGTCACCCCAAAGTTACTCTCAATAAGGTTTGTAGCAAAAGAATGTACCGAGAAGACCACATATGCCTCTAAGGGCCATACCAAACATGCAGGCCCAGTGGTAATCCAAAGTTGAGGAAGAACATTCAAAGTTTGCATCAAAAGTACACGTTTGGCTTCAACTCCACACCTCAGAGATATAGTGAAAGGAATCTCCCAAGACCTATCAACCATAGAAAACATGTCAGACACAAAGGCATCCAATGATTGAGCTACGAACCCAACCCTTGGGAAATCACTCACCAAAAGTTTCCCAGGAACCCGAAAATCATGTCAAAAAGACACCCCAAAACCACCCCCAGGATCGACATAGGAAACCTTCTAAAAGTAAGAGCTTTCATTAACAATTCTCAGCCACACAGAACAACCCTACACTCCCAAATTCCAACATGATCTCCATTCAGACCTACCTTGTCTAAACTTTGCAACAATCAATCTCCTCCATCATGCATCCCTCTCAACCCCAAATATACAAGCCCATTTCCCCAACAAAGTTCGATTCATACACCTGAGATCCAAGACTCCCAAGTTGCCTCTAGTGATTGGAGTTTTTACAATATCCCATTTCACCCAATGCAATCGTTTTGTCCCAAACACCCCTGACCATAGGAGCTGCTCTGGAATCCAATGGCAATCCTAAGTAGGTAGTCGGAAGAGAACTCAACTCACATCCAAAAATGTTTGCATAAGGTGATGGATTCTCAACCTCCCTAACAACCATCATGGAACTCTTATGTAAGTTCACTCGTATACCCGGAATTATTTCAAAGAGAGCTTAGGCCATGAGAAGATAGCGTACTTGTCCTTCAGATGCATCACAAAATAACAATGTATCAGCATAAAGAATATGAGTGACCTCCCCCATTCTCAATTCTTCATTCATAGAAAATCCCTCAAACCAAACCACAAGACTGAAAAGTCCTCAAAATACCAGAGAGAAGCTCCATCACCAGGATAAAAAGAAAGAGAGTCTTCTTGTCTTTGTCCTCTTTTGCTTTAGAAGTAACAAGAAGCTTCCCCATTCACAAGAACAAAGAATGAAGCAGCGGTGATGCACCTCGAAATCCACCTAATCCAAAGTGGGGAGAAACTCATACTCTTCATTACAATAAATAGGCACTCCCAATTTACATGATCATATGTCTTCTCGATATCCAATTTAAAAACTAATCCTAGTTTTCCAGCTCGCTTCCTAGGTTCAATGAGCTCATTTGCGATAAGTGTCGCTTCTAAGATCTGGCGACCACCCACATAGGCATGTTTCCATCACCACAAAGCCTCCCATGAAAAATTTTAATCTTTCCATAAGCACCTTTTAAAGAATCTTGTATAGGCTTGATACCAAACTAATAGGTCTAAGATCCCTAATATCACTTATAGCTTCTTTTTTCCGGATAAGGCACAAGAATGTGTGATGAACACTCTTTGGGAGAATCCCAGACACATAGAACTCTTTTAAAATATTCACCACATCAGGTCCTGGTGCATGTTCTCCTTTACTTTTCTTAATCACCCTCCACACTTCCTCTTCATCAAATGTTCTCACCAAAAAGTCTGTTGCATGCGGTGGAAGAGACGGAAACACAATACCAAAGGGAAAAGGCCTTCTAGGAAATGGCACTTGAAAGATAGACTCATAATAGGACACAATAGCACTCGCCAATTGATCTTGACCCGAGCAAAGAATGCCATTCACCCAAATATTATGCAAAAAATTCTTCCTCTGATTAAAGTTAGCAACCTTGTGAAAATTAGGAAGTATTTTTATCCCTAAACTTGAGCCACGTATCTCTGGATTTTTGACGCCGTGAAATTTCCTTTCTCTTCCACAATCAATCCAAATGAAACTTCAACATATCACGCTGCACTTTTTCTTCCTCTGACCAAACTCTAGCTTCTTCTAACAAATCAAAGTCTGCAATATATTGAAGAGTGAAGCTGATTTCCTGATCCACATGCTTGAAGACCTCTGTATTCCACTTCTTAATGTGAGCTTTTATCTTCCTTAGCTTCTTTGCACACCTGAAGAAATCCCCAAATCCCTCAATCTCATCAACCCACCAATTGCATAACTGACCCTCAAAATCCTCATGGTCATCCCACATAAACTCATATCTCCAGGATCGATGAATAACTTGCTCCTCTCCACAAGACAACAAAAGAGCACAATGATCAGAACTCACTCTAGCAAATAATTTAAAAAAACATTGAGGAAACTCACTCTCCCAATCAGAAGAGACCAACAATACCCTATCCAAACGAGATAATGAAGGGTTTGAATGTTGATTTGACCACGTGAACTGATATTCAAATCTTGGGAGATTCATGAGGGCGTGTTCTTACATAAAATCATTAAACATTGCCATATATACAGGGTTTCTTGGACCCCCCACAACATCATCTTGAGACCTTACCACATTTAAATCTCCCACGACACAAGTAGGAAATAACGACCAAGATGAAAACGATGTCAATTCATCAAAGAAAGCTCGATGCTCACTACTATCATTAGGTCCATACACATTAATCAACACCCACTTAAAATCATTATCTCTGCATGTAAACACTGTCACCAATCAAAACCTCCCCACCCAATGACATTATAAATCAAACACCATATTATCCCAAGCAACCAAAAGACCACTTGAGAGACCAGCCGATGGTTTGTCAACCCAACCCATTCCATAGCGACCACCAAGTACCCCAATGATAGAATCTGTGCAACTTTCAAGTTTTGTTTCTTGGAATAAAAAAATTTAAGGTCGAATAGGAGCAAGAAAATCAATGATGGAATATTGTTTCTCTAAATTCCTTAAACCTCTAACATTCCACGACACCAATTTAAGGATCACAAAGAAAGGCGGAGAGGAGCATACTCATTTCTGCGTGGACGACTAGTTACTAGTAGACACAAGAGTAGAAACATCAGTTTTCTCTACTCCTAATTGGCGAAGAGCTCTATCCTGAGGGGATCGAGAAGGAGCTCTCTCCAAGAAAATAAGCTCCTTCACCATCTTTATTCCTTGCAAAATCTTGGGCCATCCCATTAATTACAACCCTTTGGCCCACCCTCACTTGATAAACCTCCAGACCCACCAACGAGTCACAATCATTGTTGACTTCTCCTTCTCCCTCTTCAAAAGCCACACTATTATCTTTACCATTCAATTTCTCACTTGTCAAAAAATCACCACCATTAGAAGCAGCACTAGAAACCAAACGAACATCAGCTGTGGAACACATCCACCCCTTACCATTGATATACGTCCCCTCAAATAGTCTCACCCTGCAATTAACCAGACAAGACATTGCATCCACCCCTTCACACGTAATCTTCTGAGTCCTCGATCTGATACTCTCAGTACGTGGGCCATTTGAAGACATGTATACCCCATGCCCCTTTCCCTTCCAGCCATGAAGAAAGCGATCACCAGAGTCAATGACCGGTTGTGGCTCTATTGGTTCCACCGCAACTCTCACCGAAAAAACAAATGATCTATAGCAAAGGGGAATTTCGTCTGGGATCACCTCGTTGGGAACAATTTAGATTTGCACTTCATTAAGAGAAACTTCCTGATCTTGAATTTCTCTGACCTCTCCACAAAAATTTCCAAGTTGTGCGAGAAGCCCATCGGATCGCAGTTAAAGGGGGATTCCATCAATCCGAACCTAGACTTCTCCAAGAGAATGAATAAAACCTCATCTCCCTGCATTTTCGATCCAATAATCAGCCAAACTCTGAAAATACTTATATTGCTATCGATTAAGAGCCATAACCCGGCCCATTTTCCCCCGCGAGGAACATGGCATTAGCCAAAGACAATCGCTAAGGGGTTGGGTCTTTGAATATGAAACACACTAGTTTTTCTGAACTCATGTTCAAAAGTCCTCCTAGATTGGAATACCTCGCCCAACCAACCTCAGAACCAAAGATGCCAGAAGAAAATCTTCTCGACCTTCACTCCTTGGTTTGAGACCATCACAACCTTCGAGCCTTCACGGGTCTGCACAGAGCAACTTCCACCGTTTGGCCAATCTAACGACTTGAACAAATCAGCGAAAGACGTTCGCGAACCCGCCGTCGTTGAGTTCAATGTCATCGAGATATTAGTTTTCGCTGAAGAATACATCTTGACAAACTCTGAATGGATTT